AATAACAGACCTATATCAGCACAGGTTGAGGTTATGCCAATCTCTCTCCTCTGTAGCAAATACACAGCACAAATATAGACCCCAAAAGACAGAATGGGAGCCCAGCAAGCATCACTTTCTCTTTCTCTAGTCTCCTAGGGACTAAATATGTTTGAGAAATGAGAGAAAACCAAATCACTTAATTTTGGAGTAATCACAGTAATGTTAAGTACTTGACAACTTTCACACCTGAGAGCACCAAGGAAGAGAAGTTGAGGGTAACACTTTCAAACAAGGGTATCTAAAGCCAGGCCCCTACACTCTTAGCCTAAACTGCAGACCGAATGAGATACGATTGACGTTTAGCACCTCCAGAGAGGAGGTCTTTGGACGAAGCAATGTGTCCAATAGCACAGACAGTGGAGGCCAGGATTAGGAGTCAGTCCTCCCTGTACTGCAGGCTGGGAACGTATCCTTCCTCAGCCGCAGACAAACTCAGCTCCTTCCACTCTGCAAATGCTCCGCTGGGCCACTGGTTCCCCCAAACCGGACTGCACAAGTGCCACCAGCACTCTGCGAGCCTGCTCCTAGCTTCAGTCTTCACTGATCGCTTTTGCATCCAGTCCTTTTCAGACATCAGAGGTGTCCCACGTCAGTGCCGATTGCTGCTGGGCATCTGCCTGACGCAGCTTGGCCAACACAGGAGCTGCAGGAATTGAACAGAAACCAGCCCCATACAACACCAAGAAAAGCTGCTACTAGGTACAAAAAAAAGTCAGAGTAAAGTACTGGATACAGGTGCTCCGTGGCCTCTGCTTAACTCTATGCCTTAAAGGTCATCTCAAAACGAGCCAGAAAAGGTTGATTACTGAGACTACTGCAAACTTCAGCCACCTGGACTCTAATATATGCAGCTACTTGACACATGAGAGCAACTCTTGCTTTTTCTCCCGCTCCTCCAGCTCGCCCAAGGCCTAAGCCTAACACTCCCATGTCTGCCTTTCAGCAAGAACTTGCTTGTACCTGAACAGAACCTGCAAAAACACTTCCAGAAGCAGCTCCACAGGGAGCAAGGTGTGAGCACGGGGCAGCAACTGCGCAGGAGGAGCCGTGGTGGGTCCATAGGCGACCTGCAGGTCCTGGCCTGCAGGCACTGCGCTAAGCACTGCTGCGCTCCAGTGGTGACACCCGGCTTCACGCCTTGTCCCAGGCACGGAAATCTGCTCTGCAATTAGACCCATTTAAGACGGGAGGCACCTTACTGTGGATTTCCACCACTCAGAGCCCGCTCTGAAAAAGAGAAAAAGCGGGAGGGAAAAGGGAAAGGGTTAAGCCCCCTCCCTTGTGTGGCTCATAGGGTTGCTGTCCATTTCTCTGCTGGTTATTAGATTGTTCACGGCTCTCAGGTTTGTTTGAATAAGCTCTTTTGTTCTATAGAGTTTTCCCACGTCCCTTCCCTCGCTAGGCAGTCGCGTGTCCCAAGTCAAAGAGGAGCTGTGGCCACGAATTCCTAAAGAAACTTTTTTCAGAGCAAGACATCTGCGTTGGAGGGAATCTGCCAACATCTGCCACACTTTTCCCATTTTCAAGACCCTTTCTTTCCCTCTTAAAAAGTGCAGGAACAGATGTTAAAAGTTGTTTTCTTTCTACAGGGTGTGAAATGTAGGCAAATAGCAAAAAAGAAAACTCCAAGCAGCACTGACCCCTTTCTCTTTCTTTTTTTTGGAAAGCCCAGGGGAAAAAAAAGGAGGCTTTGTTTACTAAGGAGAATCCCCTTTTCAGTAAAACCTGGCAGTGCGCAATGTGAAAATAAAGCGGGAATTTGCAAAATGCTTCCTTTAATGCTATGTGGTCATTTGCATTTGCCTGTTTCGTCCACACAATCCCGAGCACAGATGTCATGTTTCCCCCTGAAAGGGACGGCGACCCTACAGCCTGCACACCACCCGTGCTCCGAAAATAAAGGGCTTTGCCCTGAATGAGAGGTGTAAAATAACTGTTTACAGCAAAAGCTGCTCCTCTTTTTCACCCAAAAGCTGTCTTACAAACGAACCTTGAAATGCGCTCACCGAGAGCAAAAGCCAGAGGAGAAGCAAGACCAGTACAAGCAAGGGGCCCCTCGGAGTCTCTCGCACCCCTCTGAGGTTCGGGGCTGCGCTGCCGCGGGCGAGCGGGGCGGCAGCAAGGGCCAGCAGGAGCTGCTCCCGCCCGCCCAGCCCAACCCCTCACCGCTAAAAACACCCTGCGTGCTTCTTTTGCGAAACCCATGGATCCCTTTGCTTGAGGGCCTCAGAGGAAGGCAGGTCACACAGGGTCAAGGCTGAGGGCAGGAGGCACCATGGAGAGGGAGGGAGAGTCGTGAAAGGAGCTGCGCGGGAACATGCAACCTACAGCTTCTTACTCCGCTGCTGCCTTTGCTCTCGACCCCCCCCTCAGTACAGAGAGCAGCTCTGCAGAGGAAACCTCTGGGTGACCTTCCTGCATCTCCCTTCTTCTCCCGGGAGCCCCAGTGGGCAGTCAGAAACGTGCATATAAGAGCCTGGTGTTTCCACTCAGCAACATCTCTCGAGACAATAAAACTAGAAGGCAGATTAAAGCAGAAGCAAGTCCAGGCCAAGGAAAAAAAGGAGAGGACAAGAAACCGGGTGCCACCACCGGAGAGACCGTTCCAGTGGTGCTGGGGCTGGTGATCCCTTGGGCCACAAACAGAGGGGACACACAGAGCACCCCAGACCCATGTCCAGCCAAGAAGCACTAGACCGAGGACCCCCTTGAAGGAGGACAGATGAGTATGTGGGAGAACGCCTGCTCCCTTCTGATATGTTTTTCAGAGCTTTTAGGCAATTCTGTGTTTGTTGACACCCCTGCAATGCCCAGCTGGGACAGGAGCCCAGGTGGCCTTGGGCTTCCCCTTGCTGCTCTGACCACCTTGGGAACATGCCTCTCTCCACAGAAGGTAATGGTGTTGCGAGGAGCAATTTCTCCTCTTCCCCACCAGCCAAGCTAAACCCTGGCTAGAAGCAGTGCAGCCAGGTCATAGGCAGAAGCAGGAGTCTCCAGGCCTTAAACACACCGGAAAATTCCCCAGACCCAGGAATGAACGTTTCCCCTCTGTGCCCAAGCCCTGTGCTACCGACTCACAAGTCGGAGCCCCATCTCAACCCATTGGGCTACCTTCTCGTGTCCCAGCTGCTGCAGTCATGTGGTTACATGGATGTCTCAGCCACATGTTTTCTAAAGACAGGCAAGCTTCTAATTCTCATACTGGGTTGGAAAAAACTCGAGAAAACAAAGGACTCTCAAATTTTGAGCACTCCGAGTTGACAGAACTGAAGGGCTCTCACACAGGTCAGCAGAAGACCTTTTCATTTTCTATTCAGGGGACATACCTGACATAACACCCCTACCCCCTTGCTGCATCACCTTTACCAATTCTCCTTTTGCAGAGCAACAAACACACAAGCCCATCTCAGGCTCTCGCTCATGGGCCTTGGCCAGGGAGGGTGCTCCTAACACTGGGCAATTGCATCCAGTCTCTGCATTCGGCTGACAGACAACCTCTGCCTGTAAGATATCACGTCTGGGGACATGTTTTCATTACAAGCACAGGCCACAGTGCATACAGACATGCGATAAATGTTTGCATTTACATACATACAAACATACGCCCACACGGTGTTTAAGCAAGGGACACAATGTCCTGCCTTTTATTCCGGAGGTACATCACCGCTCACAGCAGAAGGGGTGGAGTAAGGCTTCTGCAGCTGCAGAGTTATGCTGGGTGATGGGAAATCCCAACAGCAGACTGGGGCAGCTTTTGGTTCTTCTGAACCACTGCAGCTTCTTCCTGTCCATTTAAATAAGGTGACACATTCAACACCAGTGTAAAGGGCTTCACCCGCGTAACTCCACAGGACGCTGCCAAATCCTGCTCATTAGCAAAGCAACTGTCAGAAAGCAAAAGCACAGTCATATTCCCCCTTAAAAACCAAATAGAAGTGAGGAAGCATAAAAGTACATTCTCATCCTGTGCCAAGTCTCCTGTAAAGGCCCATGTGCTATTGCACTAGCATTTCAGAGGATAAAAAACAAACAAGAACACTCCTGCTCCCCAAAACTATGCAAGAATCCTGTTGATAGAAGGGGGGAAAAAATAAACATTTGTGCAAAAATCCCATAGAAGTAACAGGATTGAATTCACCTCTAGGTTTGTTTGCATCTGAAATTGTCTGTAATTTTCATATGCAAGTCTAAACAGCAGTTAAAAAAAACTAAGAGTTGCATGCATCTAGAGCCTGCAAAACACAACTCAGACTCTCAAGAGGTAAATTAAGTCCCACAGCATTTTCTCTAGAGGATTTCTGTGGTGGAAACAACGTTTCTATAGGTGCCTGCTGCCAACAGTTTTTAACCGATCATCATTACCTTGTAATAATAATTCCTGGGAGCAGGAACTAGTAGCTCCTGTACTGTTATTAAACTAAAGGCTGCTCTTGGCTTCAAAGATTTAAAACGACTGAGGCTCAGGTTAGTAGGTAAAAAGAGGCATTGGCTCAAGGAGATAAAGGGGGGGGAAAAAAAAAAAGCATAGAAGACGTTTTCCCAGGTGTAACTCAACTGGTTCCCAGCTATTGTTTTCCTCCCTGGGAATCTGTGCAAATTGAGCAAGGAGCCATGCAAGCTGCTCAGAGCGCGCCCATTTTGCTTCCTTCACAAAAGATCCCTACAAAGCAAAGCTTTGGAGGCTGGACATCTGTCGCCGTTTGGGGGGGCCGATGCGGTCATTGAAAAGAAGCAGTGACCTGTCAGCTTTGATTGATGGCCACAAACCTCTGGGCTCGACCCCTCGTGTGGGAAAAGGGGTCCAGCCAAGGAAAGCCCCCTTTCACATGCTAATTCGGGGTTATAAATACAGCAGCGAGAAGCAAAGCGCCCACGAGGAAAGGGAGCAAGCCGGTGCCCAAGTGCCTCCTTTCCGCCGCCTGCCTCCCAGCATTTCGGAGCCGACAGCCTGGATTACAATGACGGCCGCAGCCACGGCCAGCGGCGGGCAGAGACTCTCCAGCACCAAAGAGGAAAGGAAGGTAGGTGCCGCTCCGTGCCAGCTCACCCCGCCACGGCCACGCGTGCGGAGCGCGAACCCCATAACGCGGGTGCCCGTACCGAGCACTTTTAACGATACAGCGCTGCAACCACAGGCAGTGCTGCTAGGAAAGAGAAGCGGAGCAATTTTTTCCTTCTCATTATAAAGATGTTTTCTCTGCACGTAACCTTGGGGGGTGTCCCGCCCCCCCCCCCCCCCCGCTTCCTTTCTGTCTTAGAAAGCTGCCTCGCTTCTGGTTTGAGATGGGGAAACTCTGATTAACGTGAGTTGAAGTGAAATAATTAAGACCTAATATGATCTAAAGACCAAGGTATTACCGGAGTTGGAGATGGGGGCTTCTCCATCCTGCTTCGATAGCTGTTGCCCCGCACCACTTTCACTTGGAGGATGTGGCTTTTCAGGGTGAAACTAGACCCAAGGCCTCATTCTGCCTCAGTGAAGCCAGCACGGTTCACTTCTGCCCTCACTGAGCTGTAGTGGAGAGAGAAGAAGAAAAATAAATAAAAATAAAAATCATCTCTGCACTTCTTCCTCCCTCCCTCCCCTTCCACCATCTCCCTGCCAGTTAAGGAAACCTCTCATTGAGCGGAAGCGAAGGGAAAGGATTAACAACTGTTTAGATCAGCTGAAGGAGACTGTTGTTGGTGCATTTCATCTGGATGTAAGTGTTCATTTTTACACACCTTTCCGTCCTTTGCCTGGTGGGGGATTCCCCCCCCCCCACGCCTTTTCAGAAATTCAGCACTGCACCGCGCACTTCATTGTCTCTCAACTACTGACTTCTTCCTTTATTAGCAGTCTAAACTTGAGAAAGCAGACATCCTCGAAATGACAGTAAAGCATCTTCAGAACATCCAAAACAGCAAGCTCATGGGTGAGTGCGTCTCTCCTCCAGCCCCTTCTGGGTAACTCAGGGTCGAGGCAGCAGGGTCCCCGGGGAGCAGAAGCCCGCTGCATTTTTAATCCAGCGGCAGTTTGGCAAAAGCGTCTTTCAAACCTGTTGACTGGGTTTTGCTTTCACCACTAGATGGGGAGATGGAGCTGAACACTTTTTTTTAACCCACAGAAGTTTTTCTTCCAGTGCCAGTTTCTCCTTTTGTTCTAGCTTTGCAGTGCTCGGTCAGTAAGCAGCCCCATCGGCTGCCTGGCTGGGCAGCTCGCTGCCTGCGAGACCTTCCTCCTGAACCTTGCAAGCGATTAACACTGTAATAAAGCCCAGTTGAACTAAATAAAGATGAAATCAGTGGAGGAATCAAACTACCTTCTCCAGGAGCCAGTAACAGGGCCTTACCTAATGATTTTTTCAGTTTCTCCAAGTTATTTATTTATTTATTTATTTTTCACAAAAGGGCCCAGAGGTTACCCTGTGATATTCCTGCTCTGCTGGGAAGCTCTACCGGGCCATCTGAGCCCTGACCTCTGCTTCGGCCACGGCCCCAAGACCGTTCTCATTTGCATCAATTGTGCAGAGTTTTTGTCTCACCCTGAGATAGGGCACTGACCTGCCACAGACCCCACAGAAAGTTTTCAACAATAAGCCAGGATAGCTTTCTCCACTAAGTCACCCAGGAGTAGCCCATGGGGGGACAATGCACACAGGACCCTGTTGAGTGTTTTTTTAAGAGAAAAAGCACTGTGCAGCTTTTACCAACTCACCAACTCCAGTTATCTCTCGTTCAATACAGCTGACTCCAAAGTGGGCCTTGAAGCCCAGCAGAGATACAGCACTGGATATATTCAGTGCATGCACGAGGTTCACAACCTTCTCCTCACCTGCGAGTGGATGGACAAGACTCTTGGTGCACGATTATTAAACCACCTGCTGAAATCCTTACCCAGGTCTGGTGAAGACACCTGCAAAATAGCATTAAGGTCTTCGAGCCCATCTCAGCAGCCTGTCTTGACACCAAAATCCCCACCGAGCCCTAAGGGGAACCCTCCCAGCAGAAACCCATCTCAGGAGCACTTCTACCTTGTGGAGAACAAACAGGCACTGAAAAATCCATTCCAGCTGCCATCACTGTCCGTTTTCAGCCAGGTAGATGCTGTGCCTCCCAGACAGGTCCTGCAGCCAAATTTTTCCCATAACAACCCTAGTATGGGGTCATTAGATATGTGGAGACCATGGTAAAATGTGCTTTAAAATGTTTCTCCTAATGTTAGACACTCTTATGTATGTATCTTATAGATATGTCTCTTTAACACACTTGAGGGGCAAGTCTGTTCCTGTAGGTGTATTAAAGACCAGGGTACTTCATGCCGAAGTAAACCTATGTGTAGCCTGCATTGTAGAAGGCTGCTATTATTTTGTATTTATTTAATACATCTAAATTATTATATAGAATCCTCTCACACTCTTTAGCATATATTAATTTTCTTGTCCCATGTTCTTAAAATAATTAGCCTCTTATGAATAAAAATGAGACAAGGAGAAACGACCCTCTTTTGCATCAAGCTTACCTCTCAGATCTCACATAAGCAGCTGGGATTACTTTGTTGGATAGAGGAGAAAAAAGCCAATCTTACTTTTATTATTATTCTTGTTCAACCGTAGGAGATTTCAGTTCTAATTCCTGTAAGAATGCTGCAACGATTAGAAGGAAGAGAGAAAAGGAGAGACTCTGTTTAGACATTTTAGGTTGTGCAGATATATTCAGTGTTCTCTGTACTGCTCACTCTAGCCACGCAACTGTTCCTAACCACCCAAACACGTCGGCATTACTGTTAAAATAGTGAGCTAGGTGTAGAGATATATGCTACATATAGTTACATTTAGAGATTTTTTTCGTTTACTTAACTAAAAATTCTAAATAATCTTTTGGAAGATTACAAGTGATTTTTTTCCCAACCTTGACCTGTCTACTCTGAATAAACAATACTTGGGGAATCTGCTTTTGTTTTCTTCTTTCACAAACGGTTGTTCCTTAGCAGTTGAAAGAAATCGTTCATTTTTTGCTCCCGATGCTTTGTAGGAAAAGCAGCACTGACCCATACACAAAGAATCACCTGGATCATGGTAACACTTCAAATTTGGAAAGAAGCCAGAAGTTGGGCTTATCAACCCGGACAACTAACTTTAGGTTTTACCTGTAAGGGAATCACAGACAGAACCTAAAGACCAGAAGGTGAAATTCCCTGCAAATTGTACCAACAAGACTGGGACAAATCTGCTCAACTTGTTGGCAACATCTGGTCACAGTTTTTCAACTCAAAGGCAGTTAAGAGTTCTTCACAGTTAAAAGAAAAGAGCAATGCTCCCTTAAACAAACACTCTGCATACTAATTAACAAGCCCCCAGTTCAGAAGGACTAATTATGCAGCGTGATCTATTTGATGATGTGTTGAAAGAGTGAAAAATCACCACCTCTGGTTTTAGCCAGCTTCTCCTGTGAAGCTCTCCCTTTCATCCAGCACTTCTGAAAAGCCATTAGAAGGGGTGGCATAAGGGTGGCAGGAGTAACAACTGGCCGACATGAAAGAAGGGGCTTTGCCAAAAGAGGCACAGAGCAACCTCCAGCAGTCCCGTGGGGCGGCAAAGCAGCTCTTCTAAGGACACGGAACTGTAGACATCTTACAGCAATCTCAGCCTCCATCTGCTGACTAAAAAGCAGGACTTGTCATCACTTCCCCAATTTGAGGCTAACGTTTTACCAAAGGGAACCTCCAGAATGACTAACGATATGGAAAATACATCCAAATCTTCCTCGCACCCAAATACAGATGGCAGTGGGAACTAGAGACAGCCCATGCAAAGAGCAGCAATACAGAGTACTCTCCGTCAGTGAAAACACTCGGGCTAAGGCAACCAAAGCACATCAAAATCCTGCAACTGAAAAGACATTAAAGATCTTCACAGCTTATTATCACACATATTGCTGAGCGTAGGTTAAGGACCCACACCACACAAGCACCCACCGTTACTGCACCCGCTGGGGAAAGCCCCATTGCCCAGCCTTGGGGACTGTACGCACCAGCACAGTAGAGGTGGGGAGCATACCCCTACCCGAGGTGGGGTCTGAAGCTTAACAGCTTTCTTTTACTTCTGTTCTGTTTCAGTAACGGGTCCAACTGCACCTTGTGGCAACTTTATAGCTAGGCGGGGAGAGGGGCTACGCAACGTTCCAGTGTGATGAAAATATTTCACTATGTTTTGACAGCATCAACTTAAAAACATACTTTCCCCCTAAAACCTGTGACTCTCCGATGACTATAATTATCAGCTATGGTTACTGTGCTGAAAAGAGACCAGTGGGAAATATATATTTCTCACAGTCTCTGGTTTACTTTGTGCATTCGAAAATACTTTGTGGTTAGCGAGTTTTATTATTTCCTGTTTCTAATCAGTAAGTTTTTTCTTTTGTGGGTGTGGAGGGAAGGGTCACACAGCAGCTGGTGAGACAGATTTAAAAATAGGAAAGGGAGACTGCAAAACTTGGCCAAGACTCTCCAGAAACTTTTACTACAAGACACTAATTTTTCACTGTCCTAATTTCAAATTGATGGTATCCTTTTAAATGATCTCCCTGTCATACGTCTACATATAAAACCTAGTTCAGACAGACAGAATCCCTCCAGGAACTAATGCCGGATGATTCCTTTACAAGTCACTTGTTTATAGTAAATAAAATCCGTCTTCAAAAAGACAGAACATCATTTATAACACTTCATGCATACAGGGTCAGCTATCACTTGTGCTTGACAAAGGAATTCTGTATTTACTGCAGACCCAGCCAGGACCGCAAAGAGCAATAACACTTCACTCCTCAGCACAGGCATTTCTCCACTGACAACCCAAAAACGCAGTCAGCTCCTACCATCTTATCCCCGGGAGGTGCAGTGGTGGTAAATGGCTGGGAGATGTGACTTTACAAGCAAAAGTAGCACGAATGAGAGCGCAACACCACTGCTGCTGCACAGCCGCCTGCTGCGGAGCAGGGAGCGCTTGGTCTTGCTTCCCCCAGCGGTTCCACCGTCCCCGCTGCTGGCGGCAACTGGAAAGAGCTGGCGCCCGTTTTTCTAATCTGGGCATACCCTTTAACAAGATCACTGCCTCCCAACCGGCTAGCTAATTCAGAATAAACATAGCACTGCCCGAGTAAGAGAGCGTTCAGAGCCGCACCACTGCACGCGCCGCCTGGATACAACAGCAGCGGCTGGCTGCAGCTGGGCCCACCGTCCACACCGACGCTAGTATCTATCCACATCTGCACCAAGCTCCTGGAGCTGTGGTTTCTTGCTGCTGGGTGTGCAGCAATGCAACCCAGGGCTCCAAGATTAGGCACCTTCAAGACTGCACAGCAGTTCCCATCTGGGACTACATGCCCGAGGCCCTAGGGGTTTGGAGGCACAGACAGCGGGCCTGCTGCACCCCCACGTCTTAACCCACTATACAGACTGGAAACGGCCAAGACAAGCACCAAGACCAGGTTCCTTAACATGGGTACAGCCAGCCAGACCTGTTTGCTAGTAGCGACAAGATGCATCAACATCTCACCCGGCACATGCAGTGCAAGCAGGGTTGGGACGGCCTCTTGCAGACTTGCGCTTTGTTTGTCCCCTGCCGCTGTTCCACCCACAAGGTTTGGCTGCAAGGTTGGATCCAGAGGGTTTCACATCCAAGCTTCAGATTCGGCTCATGACTGGAGCCCACAGACACACACAAAAGGTTAAGCTTAGAGGCATGTCACCGAAAGACAAAAATCAAGCAAGTGCCAGAGCGCTGTTCCAAACGTGTATTTTGTGAACTGAGCATTCAACACTGAGGCCAGCTTCTACGTATGCAGGGATATGGGGAAGGCTGGAACGGAGGCTCAGGACCCCCACACAGCTTTGGCGCAGAACAATTGCGGCCTTATACACCGATGTGAGCCCAAGCGGACAAAACACACGTGTGCATAGTAGCTCTGTCTGTATAAACTGTAATCCCAGACCCAGCTCTCATTGAGACCAGCAGGAAAACTCCCACTTATTTCTCAGGCAACAGGACTGAATCCTTTCCCAGTTAAGAAAGGTACAGAAGTTCACGCGTATATAACAGAACTCATGGCTCTGCCCATCTCCTAGCATGCTGTCTTCTCCTCCCCAAACACACAGCCCTTGAGGGCTTCAGAGCATCCCTGCGTTTTCCCTTATTTTTCCTCTCACGCTGAAGGCATTGCTGCCACCCCCTTTGCAGCCCACACGGTCCCACAGTTACCCAGAGCAGCCAGGCCAAACCACTTCAGCAGACCAAGTGCAGTGTTGAGATCCTGCAGATCATTACCCAAGGGGGTTGAGAGCTCTGCTTAAAAAAGGAACAGGAGCCAAGTTTTTGGCTGACCTCTTCATTGTGCGCTCATTTTGGCAAGACCGAACCCCGGACTGCCGATCTGACCTCTCCAGACCCACAAAGGGACTTCTAATCCTCAGCACTTACAAGCAAGCGACCCTGCAACATCCCACACAAAAGCAATTCTGGGACAAAGCATTTTCAACCTGATTTTAACCATACTGCTATGGTTGCGAGTCCTTGTAGCTAGAAAGGAAAGTGCTCCTGCTGGGAGGAAAGCGAAAACAAACCCGCCAACAACAGAACACCAAAGACTTCAGTTTCCCTGTGTATAAGCCGTTATCTCACAGCTTCCAGTGCATACAGTCCTATCTTAACAGAGGCATGCTCTGATTTCAGCTCACGAGAAGTAATGTTGTGTTGAGAACCTAACCCAAAGTCTGTCACATTTTTCAGAGCTTCCACACACTCATGAATAAGGCAGCAGAAACTGAAGCCAGCCCCACATCTGCACTGCTACGGTGTTTCATTTATAAGTTGTAGCCGTGGTTAAGAGTGGGGTTTGCTGCCTAAAGCACTAGATCGCAGACACACCTCAGTTTGTTTCTGAGGCTCTCCTATGGACTGTGCTGTAGATGTTACAGATCCTTCTGCACATTAGAACATTTTCATCAAGATTTCCGTGACTAATACAACCAAAAAAATAGATTTCTACACTCAACCCCACATCCACTGCAATGGAGAGATCTGGACCCTTGCAACAGCTCAAAGCGATCTCTGGGGCTGGAGAACCATCCCGTCCACTTTGCCAAAGAGCAAACACCTCCCAGGGTCAGCTGGGAACGATGCCTCCTTCCCTGGGG